CACACTCTGTCTCTCTCAAAAATAAAATAAAAACATAAAAAAAAGTTTTAAAAATTATATGACAATAGCATACAATTTGGAAGCAATTAAAGTATTTCAAATTGCTTATATTATTCAAGCAGGAGAAGTTATTGATAAACTTTAAACTTTCTTAAATATTTGGAGACTAGAATGAAGTAGATCAAACCAGATATTTCACTATAGGGCATAGCTTTAAAGATATTACCTGCTGCATTCAGAATGTTGGGAATTTAGGGAAGCTCAGTAAACTGCAGCTCCCTTTATTAAAAAAAAAAAAAAGACTCTTTAAATATATTCAACTATTAAGGCAAGGCATTTTCCTATATAAAACATTATAGTTTTCCCACTCCTCCAAATATTCCAATAAACAGCTTTTCTCAATGGCCCCAGTGTAAACTATGAGTGACCACCAGGCTGTGAGGACCACCACGAGCCATAGTTCCTGTACAGCTCCAACAGTAGAGCAATCCAAGAGCGTCAAAGCCACCGCAAGCTCACCTGTAGTGTTGTAGTTCTGTTTTTTCAGTTTCCCACTTGAATTTGGAATTAATTGAGAAATTGCATAAAGAGTCAGGCAGATGGAAATTAAATAATCACCTTATTAAGGAGAAAATGTTTTTTGAGAACAGGGCCTAGGTACATATAAAAGGGCCTGCTTGTTTGTTCTTCTGATCTTTATATGTACTACCTAAAACTGCAAGCAATACCCACCAGAACAGAGCCTGCCCCTCCAAGCTTACGTTAAGGGCAGACCAGCGAGCACACTCTCTGCAGGCAAACAGATCCCAAAGAGAGGCCTGAGAAAGAAACCGATGTGCACATGCTCAGAGGCTATTCTGAAATTCAGAAACCAGGCAAGTCACTCCGTCCATTGGAAGGGAAGAGCTTGGAGTGAAGGAGATGAGAAGAACACGATTCTGCTACCACGCCCTTCCACATAGAAACATGCAATGAGTGATGAGGAACTCCCTACTACCAACTCCAAAGGGGAATTTGAAGTCTTTGGGAGGACTGAGGTAGGGACACAAGGAGACACGATGTTTTCAGCACCTTTACCTCCTCCCTGGGGCTGAGCTGTGATGTTGAGCTCACATTGTACTTTAGCTTTCAGGACAAGGACAATCTGCTCCTCCATGGTAATGGTGCCACCAGAATCCAGCTGTAGAAATGAACAAAATACAAACAGAACAATATTTCCATTACATTTTTTAAGCCATGATATAACCTTTCATTATATACTGATACAGTTGAAAATTAAAGTTTTGATAGCCAGCTATCTGAAATAGTCTTTTATCTGAGTCAAACATTCTACAAGATATCTTTCATCAGATACATTGATACCGATTCCCACCCTGAAACATGCTTCTAACCTACAGCAAGTGAATAATAAATTCTTCTTGGATGAGTTCATCTAGATTTGGCTTTAGCACCACCAGTAATGGAGAGGAAATTCTACTATTGGAAAACCTTATTTCAATGAAATATATTTTAAATATGACCAAATATTCATAATTGTTTGTTCAGATTCTATTGCTTGGACAACCTGAATCTGATGCATATATAAAATGTAGATCTTTATGCTGCACATCAGACTCAGTGAGTCAGAATTTATTTCTGGAGGTGGTGGACTGGTAATCCTTGTGTTTCCCAGGGACACTTTGTGGTTCTTGCACTAACTTTAATGGGTTTGACAACCAACATACTTGAAGGTACAAGATAATGGTGAAGATCATTCTATTAGTCAAGTTTCAATCAGAGAAGCAGAACTATAAGAGATTAGGATTTATAGAGAAATAGAAGTAAAGATAGAATAGAATAAGTAAGTACTTGTTACAAGGATTTGACTAAACAGTTGTGGGAGGTGACTAAATAGTTTCTAGAAGGCCTTTTTTTTTTTTTTTTTTTTTTTTTTTTGGTCTGATGCTGGAGCTAGAAATCTGCAGGTCAGGCAGTTAAAAAGAGATGAATATAAAGAGAGGGAGAGAGTAGGAAGAACTTGGAACCATGAGGACACAGTAGAATGCACGTGAGTTCTCGGGGCCTCCAGCCTTCATGTTGTAGGTGTCCCACAGAAACTGGCATTCTTTATCATGGACCTAAACACACTCAGCCCAGGAATCAGAGAAGTTAAAGAAGAAGCCAGGAAAATATGAATCTGCTGCAGGCCTGGCTGCTATCCCCCACAATGAGATGAGCCAATAGACAGCCAACAATGCGTGTGAGATACAAAAGCACCTCCCTTGACCATCTGAGTGTAAAAAACAAAATGGCTGCTGCCTCACTTCTGCCTTCCAACACTCATGAAAGCATGTCTTGTGTGTCACCCTAACCAGAAACATAAAGGGAATGGGGATTCTGGGAAATGCAGTTTAAACAGCTAAGCTGACACATTACAAAGCCACCAAAATCTACCTCTGTCAACTTGGCACCCACACATATCTCTTTAAACCACAATTAATTTCCAGAAAACTCAATACAAAGTCACGCTCCATCTAACATGATACAATTCGTTTGGTACTGAGAGTGATTCCAAAAGAACAGAATTTAAGGAGCAAAAAAATCTGTATTTGTCATCTCTAGCTGTATAACAAATTGACCCAAAACTCTGTGGCTTCCAACAAGCATTAATTATCTCACAGCTTGGGATAAGCTTAGCTAGGTGGTTTTGGACTCAGTCTCTTATGAGGTTTCAGCCAAGACTTCAGCCACAGATGTGGTTACCTAGACTTGATTGGGACTAGAGGATCCACTGCCAAGGTGGTCCACTCACACAGGTATTGGCAGAGGGCTTAAGTTTCTCAACGGCTAAGAGGAAACATTAGTTCCTCACCCTACGGTTCTCTATGGGTGCTTAAGTGTCTTTACAACATGACAATTGGCTCCCACCAGATGAGTGAGTCCAGAAAGCAAGGAGAAAGCCACCATGCCTTTTATGATCTACTCTCAGATGTCACTCATGGTCATTCCCATCATATTCCATTAGCTAAAAAGCAAGCCACCAAGTCTCACTCAGGGGGAGAGGAATTAATCTGTACCTTTTAAAGGGAGGTGTCAAAAAATTTATAAATGTATCTGTAGTCAACTGCAATTTTCTGCAGGTGCTCATCTATTTTCCAGAATGAGAATACTGAGTATTGTGGTTTTTGTAGATTTATTAACAATAGTAGGGTCCAGAACTTTGCATTTCTGTTTTCTCCTAGGGGCTTAGAGATTTTATTTATTTATTTATTTATTTATTTATTTATTTCAAGTTAATTAACATGCACTGTAGTATTGGCTTCCAGAGTAGAACCCAGAAGTGATTCTTCATTTACATATGACACCCAGGGCTCATCCCAACAAGTGTCCTCCTTAATGCCCATCACCTATTTAGCCCATCTCCCCCGCCCCGACCTTCCGCCTCAAGCAACCCTCAGATTGTTCTCTGTCTTTAAGAGTCTGTTTTGGGGCGCCTG